AGAGAAGGTAGCACTTTGGTTGACTCTGAAGGGATAAGAAAAATGTTTTTAGGCAGACTAGTGGGAGTAGTGCTGAGGAGAAAACACTTATGTCAAAATAAAGAGAATTTTAAATTTGATAAATTTAAAAGGCATGGAGCTTTTGGGAACTTCAAGTTATTTTATGAGACAGGCATTTAGGAGACGAGCAGTTGGTGAGACTGGATACATAGATGAGGGACAGATAATGAAGGTCTCATATGGCACATTGTTAGAGGTCATTAAGAACCATTGAAAGAATGCTATCTGATCATATTTGTATTTTAGAAAGTTACTATGGCTAACATGGAGATTTAATTAGATGGAGATAGGCTGGAGATAGGGAGACTGATTAATAGGCCATTACAATAATCCCATGGGGCACAATAAAGGCCTTAATTTCTGAAACAGTATTAAGTTCAGGGCCAAGAAAACAGATTTGAAAGATAGATAAGAAGTAGACTAAAGGACCTGACAAATCATTTTGGACACTGAGAAGGGAGTCTATGATTTACTTTAGCTTCTGACTTGGATGATTGGATAGCATTTGGGGGCTTTCAAAATTATTTGGAAATTTTTGGTTAAAGATACAGTGTATCATGTAGCTTCAGATTCTCTCCTGATGTACTTGGAACATGGCATCAAAGTATGCCATGTTGTTATCAAGTTGTGTGTACATCATATATATTCATGAATGATACAGTCTTTCTAAGTTTATAGAACTGTCACTTGAGATAGGTCTCTGAATCTCTTGATAATCATCCCTTGTTGATGGGTTAGTTTATAACTTTTATATGAGTAACTTCAACTCTGCCCCAAAGCTATGATTTATTTAGACTGGAGATAAGATAGAATGTACCAGACTGATTATTGTATTCTTTACCATGACCACTTAGGAAATTCATCACTAACTTGCTGCAGATGGAGACAGTCTGAAACCAGTAAATGTTGAAATCCAGTCACTTTGGTCCAACACATTTCCCTCATGATCAATTTTCAAACTTTGAACTTAAGGAGAAAGGAAATCCTTAGGACATTTCACTATAATAATAAGGTAAAAAATAACTGGATTTTTAAAAAGCAGGAAGTTTTAGATATTTATTTCTACTCCTGAAATGGACACCAAATTTAAGAGCATGAACCTTGAGAGTTTAAAACAGTAGAATAAAATATATATTTTCTATTTATATCACAAAATATGAGAGTGACTTCTTAATGGGTTCCTGTGCATCAGTGCACAAATGAATTCCACCGACTTCTTAAAAAAAATTCTCATTCAACAAACCAATTGTTTTTCACATTAAAATTTTATACATTCTTGTTACAGAAAATGTAGAAAAGTAGAACGATGAAAACAATGCCACCCATAGCATCACCCAAAGAAATCACTGTTAATAATTAATTAAGAGTATTTCCTTCCAGTCTTAAGAACATTTCAAATACAGTAAACTATGGATTAATTAAGAAATTATTGAAAATCTCTTTTAAAAATATTTCAGTCCATGTATAGCCCTTATAACACACTGCTGTCAAGTCATTTCCAACTCATAGCATCCCTATAGGACAAAGTAGAACTGGCCCATAAGGTTTCCAAGGAGCTGCTGGTAAATTTGAACTGCTGACCTTTTGGTTAGCAGCCTGAGTTTTTAACCACTGCGCCACCGGGATTCCATAGCCCTTATAGTTCTTCCTTTGTGCTATCCTTTGTACTAAAGTGAAAGCACCTTCCACCGTCTATTTGAACATAATTTTTACCCTCCTCCAGGCCTGCATTGTATAAGCTGAATGGGATGTGGTTTCCTCAAAGCAAGTAAGGCCATTCTAGGAATTTTTAAATATGTTGCTGAAATCAGATACAGCTACCTGAATCATATCTTTACCAGGATGTCAAAATCAGGTGCATGAATAGAAAAATAAAATCATTAACATAAATAATTTGGACTTAGCATTGAGTCTATAGGATAGAAGCTTATGTTTAAGGAACATTTGGAGATCTCTCTTAGACCAGTGGTGACAATGATGAAAAGTAGGGGGAAAAACATAGAAGGAAAAGATTCTTAAACAGACATAAAGTCATTGATTTTATAACTGTCAAGAGCTTAGATAATTTAATATTTTCCAAGTATCAAAAAATAGCACGAGAAAATCTAGTAAATGAGGAGCAATGTAGTAGATTGAATCCATAAATGAATTTAAACATATATCTTTGGATGTAACTTTTAAACCTCAGAGCCTAAAGACAATAGGATTTTAAAAAAACAGACAGATACAAAGGAAAAATGAAAAATCAAAATAAGATTTGAGGAATAAAATAAATAAAAATAGATTGGACTTCTCTGATTACAAAGAGTTGCACAAACAGATATATCTGCAATTCCTAATCAAGGTCATTGTCTTTTCATTCCAGCTGAGTTACAGGTTTCCCTGTAATTGGTGTGCTCACAGGCCTCCGGCAACCAACTAAAAAGGAAATATTTGCTCTGCCCACTTACGTTTAGGTATTTGGGAAAAGGAACACCTGAATGGAGCTTAATAACATAGGCAGTTTTGATAACCAAGAAAGATGAAAACAATTTTGTGGGTAAACAAACACAGCTTTATGTAACCCTTTATTTAGGCAATAAAGACACACTACAAATCTGTATCATATGGGGAGGTTTTATTTAATGGCTGATCCCTTCTTATTAAGGGATTGTCAAACTCATCAAGTGATGAAGAGCAGGAGGGAGATTCTCAGTCCTTTCCATTGGCCTCTTTTACATCATCCTGTATTTTTATCCACTTTTTCCTCTTTCTGGGTTTCTTAGATATCCTGTAAATTGGATTCAGGGACTCTAAGGTTTGTTGTGTCTTTTATCAGGTCTTATGTCCTGCTAGGAGCCCTGGTGATGCAGTGGTTAAGAGACTGGCTGCTAACCAACAGGTGGGGAGTTCAAATCCTCCAGCCATTCCTTGGGAACCCTATGGGGCAGTTCTACTCTGTCCTATAGGGTGGCTTTGAGTCAGAATCAACTCGACAGTGACGAGTTTGTTTTTGGTATGTCCTGCTATGTGTCAATGCCCTTATGCCAAAGACCACCAGGAATGTGTACCTATAGTTGAACAAGCGGGGTTTATTACTCATCACAGTGAGAGAGAATGTACTCCATAGGGAATCATGGTGTGTCTCAGAAAGAAGATGATAGAAAGAACCTATTATAGAGTTCGGGTTTTGGCTGGGAACTTTTGGGGAAGGTTAAGGAAGTGGGGGCTCATTCTGAATTGGGTACTGTCAGAAAGGGGGGCAATTCTATGATTGGGCATCTTGATACATCTTATATATAGGGAGGCAAAACCAGAGTGAGGTAACACTGTAATTGGTAAAGTGGTAGTAGTCATTCATTTATGAAGAAAGGATGCTTGGCATTTTGTACTGCACAGTGACTTTGAAGTGGACATTCTGTGAGACTGTGTATGTCCTACAGGAGAAAAATATGGATTAACTGTAAGAATCAGATCAGCTTGTAATAACATTGAGGCCTATCTGTGAACATCAGATCAATTCTGGATATTGCCAACCAACTAACCAACCAGCTTCCATTGAGTCAGTTCTAACTCAAGGCAACCCCAGGTGTGTCAGAGTAGAACTGTGCTCCAGAAGGTTTTTAGTGGCTATCATCTTTTGGAAGTAGATCACCAGCCTTTCTTCCAAGGCACCTCTAGGCGGGTTCAAACCACCAACTTTTTCAGTTAATAGCCATGTGTTTAACCATTTAGACAACCCAGGGACTCCTTTCGGACATTAGGAACCGCTTTTTTTGTTTTCTTTTATGTTATTATAATTCTCCTCATAATAGCAGTTTGATGCTCACCTTGTTGGGTTGAATTCAGCTTCAGTTCTTAAGGTTACACTTTGTGTTTAAACACCTAACTGTCTTTGATGTATATCAAGCCTTCTTTTCCTCTAAGATACCCACCTACAGGGTGAGAACTTCCATAGTTACATCTATTTTTTCTAACATTGCTTCCTGACAGCCCCTTGCTTCCTACCCATTCCTGGCTACTTTGGACAAACTGCCCTATTACCCTTTCTGACCAATAAAACCTCATCAGAATGTAAAAGTTTGAAGAAAAGAAATTTGCACATGGTTATGTATAAGGATAATAACTTTAAAAGGTGATCCTTCTTTCCAGATAGATTCTTTATAGGGTAATCTTACATTGATGGAGTCATCACATTTCTGTTTGTCATCACACTGAATAGACACATCATTCAGAAATGGATTCACATGACTCAAAATACGATAGAAATTAATTTATAACCACAGTGACTAGGGGGCTAGATAATCCTTTGCTTTGATCAGATTGTTTTCTCCAAATAGGCAAGCTTTATGGGTAAGCAAAAATAGGTACAAAGGTGCTTGGTTAGCCTACAGTCAGAACAAGGGAAGTTAGTAACTTAAATATTTAATGGAACTAGATAAAGATAACTCGAGGCCCCCAATGCCACAGTAGGCACACATCTTCCAGGATAAACCTTCTTCCTAGAAAGAACATACCATAGTCTTTTATTCATTAATCTTTTAAACTTGCTTCTTTGACATATTAAAACCAGCTGTTGTCAAGTCAGTGGCTACCAGAATTAAACATCTTGCTTCTTAACATAATCATCAAAAGGGGAGCTCCTTAGGGCTGGTGAAAACTCCCTGCTTTCCACTCTACCATTCTCTACATGTGATGATAAAGTTACTTTTATATGTATGATCTCATTGAAAGCCACATGTGCCTTGTAAAGTAAACAGAGTGCTCTTAGGACTCAGGGTCTGGACATTTTCCTATGTTATTATATGCAAAGTATTCCAAAGACTGAGGAAACATAGAATCCTTACTTTTTTCTGTTTCTCTATAAACAAGTTTACAATACTTCACAGTTGATGGTGTGTGATGCTTACTTGTCCTGCCTGTAGATTCTCACACTACTTGTCACAGAACAAAGTGCCACAGAGAGGAAGTGTAGATGTACTGAAATTGCTTAGTGTCGTGTTCCTTTGGAATGTAATGAAATTATTCTGCTCATTGTCTCCCTCAAGACCTCCTTTACCTTTTCATTTCTTAAGCTGTAAATGGAGGGATTCAGAAGAGGGGTCACTACTGTAGTGAGGACAGCAGTCACTTTGTCAAAATCTAGTGAATGGCTTTGGTTGGGTCTCACATACATGAAGATACAGCTACCGTAGGCAATGGAGATGACGGTGATGTGAGAAGCACAGGTGGAAAAGGCCTTCTGACGTCCTTGGGCTGAGGGTATTTGCAAGATGGTAGAGATGGTGTAGGTGTAGGACACAGTGGTGAGCACCAGAGAACTTAAAACCACAAGGGAAGATAAGAAGAAGTTTATCATCTCAATGAAATGAGTATCAATACAGGCCACCTGTAGCAGAGGGGTGATGTCACAGAAGAAATGACTAATTTCTTCAGTACAATATGGCAGTCTGGACACCACAACAGTTGAACACAGCACTGACAGGAAGGCTCCCACCCAGCAGCCCAGAACCAGCAGGAAGCAGACGCTACTGTTCATGATAGTGTAGTGCAGAGGTTTACAGATGGCCACATACCGGTCAAAGGACATGACAGCCAAGAGGATGAACTCCACTGTACCCAGAAAAAAGTAGAAATATGTCTGAATGATGCAGCCAGCAAAGGATATCGTTTTTCTTTCTTCTAAGAGACAAGCTAGCAACTTTGGAGCGATGGTAGTTGTGAACAAAATGTCGAAAAATGACAAATTATTGAGAAAAAAGTACATTGGGGTTGGAGACGATTATCTGTCCATATTAAGAGAATGATGATAAAGCTTCCTATTATGGTGAGCATATAAACCAGCAGGATAACAACAAACAGCAGAATCTGAAGCTCTTGGGCAATGGGAAAGGAAACCAAGGTAAATTTAGTCACTGTGGTCTGATTTCTTGTGGCCATTTCTACTTGAGGGGCAAAGAAGCAAACAAAAGCAATAACAATAGTTTGAATTATATTTAAAAATTTCATGACTTTGCTAAATATAGAATAAAGGGAACATTTAAAAGGGAGGGCTTCTAGTCTTGTCTGTGATTCTTTTATGTGGTCTTGGGCAAATCAAATTACATTGCTTGGCTTCATTTCCTGTTTATAAAATTCATGGGTTAGAAAAAAATAACCTCTGTGGTCTTTTGAAATTCTAACTGTTCAATTTATATTAAATTTGTGTATTTCTTCTTCCTTTATTTATTTCCACAGACTCAAATCCATGCAAATTAAATGAAGTGTATAGTTAACTGAAAATCACTTAAGTTATTTTGATTATCATATTTTAATCCTTAATAATATAGATATCATAGCTGATGACCTCATTTCATACTTCACTGAGGGAAGAGAAGCAATTGGACAGAAATTCTATCATTTCTGACAAGCATAACAATGTGAAGGATTATCTTGATCTACAACAAAAACACGACAGGACACATTCTCTGAGGCATAGATGGTCACAACAAAAGTTAGGAGAAGCTTCTGGCAAACATGAGCTGAGCCCAGAAGATTAGGGGCTGAGCCCAGTGCTAGCGTGTATCAGAGCTTCTGTGGCCAGGATTTGGAGCATGAAGACTTGGTATCCAGGGCCACTGGGACATGAGTCAGTGCAGACAGAGGGCGAGTGAGGGAACAATAGAGAATTAGAAGAGTGGGAAATCAAAGCAGAAGGTCTGACTTATTTTGGTGAGCACCTGGGGGGAAAGAGGGGCAGGATTGCCCTGTGATCATCTTGTTATAGAGATACTGCTGTGGGATATACAACACTGGAATGTCACCAATGTGGGGAAATGAATCCTGAGATTTTCTTTCTCAGCTCAAATCTCTGGGAGCGACTGAATTGGCCCTGAGTGAGGCATGACCCCTGGCAAGCAGCAGGAGGAGAAGCAAATCCCTTCCAGAGGAAAACTCCATCAAGTTATACCCCTAGTACTTCCAGATATTATGAACAAGCAAAGAACTTTCAGATAAAGATTTCCAAACACATTAGAAAGCACACCACTATCACAGAGAGTCAGCAGGAAAAAACAAACAAAAAACCTAGAACAAGAGATTTATCGCAAGTAAAACAGAACAGACTTTAGAATTGTAGATATAGAATATAGTATATGGTTGGTAGTATGAACTCACCTGGCAGCCCCATAGGAGAAATAGCTGGCGATCTGCTTCTGTAAACATTGCAGCCAAGGAAACCCTATGGGGTAGTTCTACTTTGTCACACTGGGTCACTATGAGTTGGAATTGACTCAACGACCCCTAATGACAACAATATAAATATAGTCATATATAAAATATTTAAAGAAATAAAGGTTGCATTTTATAAAATGAGGATATCACCAAAAACTATCAGAAATTTTTAAAAGAAGTTTTTAAAAGACCAAATGGAACTTACAGAATTAGGAAAAAAAAAAAGATTATTGTCAAGATAACAACGCAGTCATTTCAAATGAGTTGAGATGAAGTAAACGATGGATTAGATATGGTTTAAGAGAAAATTAGTAAATAGGAAGATATATCAGAAGACTTTAATGAATCAAAGGGACACAGAATATTGAATATCAAAGAGTGATTAAGTAAAATGGAGGATAGGATGGGAAAGTTTATATGTGTAGTTTGTGTCCTGAAGAGAAGAGGAAATGGAGGTAAGAGAGTATTTAAAGAGAAAGAGAGATTTAAAACACCAGCAGGAAGATATGAAGAGCAGTCATACAGAAAGGGTAGATTGTCTATAAAGGAATAAAAGAATGACTGCCAGCTTCTCAGTAGCAACAATGGAAGCCACAAATTGATTGAATAATATCTCTTAAATGTGGTAAGAAAATAATTGTCAGCTCATAATTTTATATCCAGTAAGATTATCTTTCATTGTAAAATAAACACAAACCAAAACAAAAACTGACTCATAGCAACCCTATATGACAGAGTAGAGCTGCCCTCTTGGGTTTTCAAGGCTGTAATCTTACAGAAGCAGACTGCCACATCTTTCTCCTGTGAAGCAGCTGGTGAGTTTGAACTGCTGACCTTTCAGTCAGCAGCCGTGTGCTTAATCACTGTGCCACCAAGGATCCTAAAATAAATATATTAGAGATAAAAACTTCCAGAATTTACTACCTAGATACAAATTCTAAAATAATAATAGAATTCAAGAATATGAAAAATAATCTTAAAATGACTATTTGAGATGTATAAAGGAATAATAAATAAAATGGTAAACATAAATCCAAATAGACATTGTTTGTAAAAAAATCATAATAGTGTTGAATTTGTGAGTTTAAGATAGAGTTTATATATGGTCAACAATAGGAAGTAAGTGTGGAGAAGAAAAATTAGAGCTAAAGACTCCTTGTAGGAGATAACAAAATATTGTTTAATTTTAAACTTTAAGTTAAATAAGCTTGATAAATTTTCTAGAGTACTCACTGAGAGAATAGAAATAGAGAGTATAGATTCCAAACTTGTAGAAAGGTAAAACAAACTCAACTACAATAAAAATACAAGTAAATGCCAACAGTGAAAACACTCTGTTAGTCCCCTCAAAGACACAAAATACAAAAATAGAAACAGAAAAGTAAAAAGTAAGATGTAGAAACCAGTCCAAGTAATATCAGTTTTCACAATAAAGAAAAATGGAATGCTACAATCTATAAAAAATAAATCCAGCTTCATTCTGTTTATAAGAAACACACATAGAAGACCACGATAAAGTTGAAAATAAAAGTAGACAAAGATACATCAAACACATGCTAACTCAAAAGAAAGCCAATGCAACTATATTTATGACCAGTGAAACAGACATTATGATGAAAAACATCATTAGGGATCAACAGGTCTTCTCCATGATGAAAAGGAATATATAATAGTTCTAAGCATGTATGCATATAATAAAGAGTTTCAACATATATAAAGAAAAAATTGATAGAACTACAAGAAGAAAACACCATCATAATAAAAGATTTCAATAAGATGACCTAAAAAAAATCACAAAAGATACAGATAATAGGAACAGCACATTTAAGAAATTCATAAAATGGTCTTATATAAAATTCTGTATCCAAATACTAGAGGATATATACTCTTCTTCAACACACATGAAACATTTAAAAACCATGCATAAAGCAAATCTCAACAAATTTCAAAGAATAGGTATCACAGAGAACATGTTTTCAGACCTCAACACAACTAATTAATAATGACATGACATACTAAAAATCCTTATGTGTTTGGAAATTAACGAACACCTTCCCAGATAATTCATGAGTCAAAAGGAAATCATAATGAAAATGAAAAAATAGTTAGACTTGAATGATAATGGTACATATCAAAATTTGTGGGGTATAACAAAAGTGATTTTATGATTGACTTATATACACTTAAAGGCTCACTTATAAAAGAAGAAATTCTGGCAATTAGAAAAGTTAAGAAAAAATTAGAATAAACAAAAATTGTAGAAGGAAGCAGATACAGATTAGAGCATAATCAATGAACTAAAAAACAAAGATAAAAAAGTCACTAACAAAGCCAAAATAGGGACAAAAAAAAAGAAGGGAAAATTTTAAATTATAATATAAATGAAAAAAAAGGGATGAGGCAAACATTAAACATTTATTGAGAATATTATTGTTAGCTATATGCCATCTCATTTGAAAACTGAGCAAAATTGGAAAAATTCCTAGAAAATTATGACATCATAACTGATGGAAAGAAAAGTAAAAAAGGCCTGAATAGACCTAAGACTATTATAGGTATTGAGCAATTAAAATCTTCTCACAAACAAAACACTGGTATACATGATTTTCCAGTTGAGCTCTACTGAAAGTTCATGAAAAAAAATCACTGCAATGTTACACAAGCTCTTCGAGAGAATTTAAAAAGGAAAAGGAGTACTTGAAGTCAGTATAACATTAAGATTAAAATTGGACAAAGATGACAAAAGAAAGGAAAAGTACAGCCCCATTTTATTCATGAATATATATGCATGTATCCTTCATAAAGCATTGTTGTTGTTGGGTGCCAACGAGTTGGTTTTGACTCATAGAGACCCTATGCACAATAGAAAGAAATGCTGCCGGAAACCACGCCGTTCTCACAATCGTTGCTATGTTTGAGCCCGTTGTTACAGCCACCATGTCAATTCATCTCATTGAGGGTCTTCCTCTTTTTCGCTGACCCTCTTCTTTACCAAGCATGATGTCCTTCTCCAGGGACAGGTCCCTCCTTATAACTTGTCCAAATACTTGAGATGAAATCTTGTCATCCTCATTTTTAAGAAGCATCCTTCTTCCAAGACAGATTTGTTTGTTCTTTTGACAGTCCGTGGTATACTTAATATTCTCTGCCAACACCCTAATTCAAATGCATTAATCCACAATCAACGCCCATGGAAGAAACAGTCAAGAAACCAAATGACGTATTGCACTGGGCAAATCTGCTACAAAAAACCTTTCAAAGTGTTAAAAAGCAAAGATGTCACTTTCAGGGCTAAGGTGTGCCTGATCCAAGCCATGGTATTTTCATTAAACATTAGAAAACCAAAATTAGTTGTGTGTAGGGGTTTAATCCCAGAGCTGCAAGGATGGTTTCATATTAGAGTTTCTAAAAATTCTTTTTCACATGAATGGATTCAAGGACAAAGACCACAGTATCAACTCTTTGGTCAGAAGCATTTAATACATTTCAACACACATTCATCATAAAAACAGGTAGAAAGATAGGAATAGAAATGAACTTCTTTTACCTGATAAAAAGCTACCAAAAAGCTACAGTGAGTATTATTCTAAATGAGGAGACATTACAAACCCTACCAAACCCGTTGGAATCCGGTTGATTCTATAGGACAGAGTAGAACTGCCCTATATGGTTTCCAAGGAGTGGCCTGGTGGATTTGAACTGCCAGTCTTTTGGTTAG